GTTTCCAGCATTACACTCAAGAAACCACTTAAAAATTATTCCAAATAGTTTTGCTTAACTAATTTCTTACTGAAACATTCAGTGATTATTTAAATCGCATTTACCATTAGAGATTTTGTGTTTCCCCAGGGAATGAAAAAACAGAACGATATTGCTTCTCTACTGACGTTTTGCTATTTAACATTACAAACACCCTCATTAAAATTACACTCACTATTAAACTAGAATTTACAAAATTTCAGCTTCTGTATAGTAGTTTATTCATAGTGTTTCTGCATGAATTAATTTTATATTTAGAAAATCAAAACAAGTGCTTCAGCGAAGAGACTCTTTTCAACACCGAATTTATTATCAAGCTGTACAATAGTATATATAAATATATATATTTAAGTAATTATATCCTGTGAGGGAATTGGATTTTAGGTGTGTATACTCAAAGTAATAATAGTATTATGAAATGCAGTGAAAGTGTTTATGACTATAATATCAGTGAAATGTCAAGTGGCAAAAGAATTATTGTCATATATGGAATAATTCACAGCCTGTTTAGAGCTTCGGAGGAGTGTGAAATTAAAGGATTAGTAGGCAAATATAATAGAAATGAAAACTTTACGTGACATTGTGTGGAATTTGGTAACAAAGAATTTAACTTTGCAAAACAGAATTGATTTAGAATGACAAGTGGAACAAGTGAAATAATACCGGGAACAATTCGAAGTGAGAACAGTAATAGTAGTAACAATTCACCTAGTAATGGAAGAATATATGAATAGGTAGAGACAAAATATGATTCGGGATTACCATACATTAGCTTAGAAGGATTAAGACCACGAATTTCTGAGGGATTCCAAGAACTTCTTCTGTATACAGAGATCTGGCTTTTCTGTTTCGATGGCCAAAGCTTCAGCACTGTGACAGATGAGTTGGATACATAGTGATTTGGGTAAATTACGTTTCGCCATGTAGATAACTTTAAAGGCGGAGGCTGTAGAGATAGGGTGATCAATGTCAACTAGGTGTTCAGTGATCACGCTTCTCATAGGTCGACTTCCACCTCTTCGTAACTTCTATGCACCTTTGAATTGTCCTATATATGACATTATTGTTTTGCCACTTCACATTTAACTACTATTATAATCAAATGCATTTTAATTGCATTTCATGCTATTATTATTTCATGTATTCACACCTATGATCCAATTCCCTTACTGGTTTTAATTTCTTACAAACACGATATATATATACGGTTGTACAGCTTGATAATAGATTCGTTGGTTGAAGGATTTCATCATAATTGACGTCAGTTAGAGAAGCATTGGAAAACCAATTTGGAGTAATGGACAGCTAGCTGTTTCCTCCCAGTTCAGGACTTTTCAGCAGTACGCACCCACCACCGTAGTTCGAACCCAGGACCTTCTGGTTACAAGGCTAGCGAGCTCGTAGACCATTAGGCCGCTGGGACCCGATCTGATGACCAGCCCATGAATTCTAACTTCTGCTAATTCATGACATTGCGAAGTGGTCAGGCTACGCCATGAACTGGCAAAAGTGATCTACAAGCTCGCTAGCCTTGTAACCAGTAGGCCCTGGGTTCGAACTATGGCAATGGGTGCGTGCTGATGAAGAGTCCCAAACTAGGAGGAAACAGCTGGCTGTGCAGTACTCCCAGTTGATTTTCCATTGGTGCTCTAACTGACGTCACCTCATGATGAAACCCTCCAACCAATCAAACTAAATCCCTATAAACCAATTCTTGAAAATAAACTCTTTGTTTATAGGAGTCTCTCTCTGTATCACTTGTTTTGATTTTCCAGGTACCCTAATTGGAATTTTCATGAATTTTTATACTGTCAACTAGATGAATTGGTAAAGGTAACAAACCATGTACAGTTTTTTTGAATTTCATAAACACTTAAGGCAGAGTTTGTACCATTGGTTAGCTACACTATACCAGCCTTAGTAAACTTAGTATGTCGAATTATCCAATCTTTCAATACTCTGTATGACTTGTAAGCATTTAATCGAATTTTAGATCTTCCTGTCGATTATTTGGACCGAAGTGCTCGGTCTCAGGTTGACATGTCGGCTTGTTGTGTAGATGTTTCGACGATGTTTTGGCATGTAATTAGAATTTAATTGGTGGATGGTGACTAGCAATGGAATCCAGAACGGGAAAATCTAAAATTGAATTAAATAATTAATATGACCCGTCGCAAAAGAGGTGGCTCTCTTGGCCTTAGTGGTGTAGTGAATAAGGCTTTGGCGTTTGAAACTATGGTCACTGGGTTTGGGCCTCGGTGGGAACAATATCACTCACTGTAGAGTGCAGGCACATCCAGATGACGAGTCCCAAATAGGACGAAATGCGCGTTGTCCTGGATTCCACTGCTAGTCACCATCTACCAATTAAATACTCGTAAGCACTGATAATAAAATACAAATCAAAAAGACTCAGTTACTTAGTTAGGCCCTTTAATGAGTACTGTATTTGAGTAGAATGAAAACAAAAGGAAGGTTATTCAACGAAAATATTTTAGAACTTATCTGGCCAGTATAGCTAAACTCCGTTCTCAGAATATGTGGGTGTCAACAGTACAAGGAAGGACCAACAAATGGTGTCCAAGCCTTTTGAAATGCGTACCCTTTAAAAAAATCCTGACAGGTGAAACATCACCTGCAGGCTAGACGTTAGTTTAGTTAACATTAAGTTGATTCAGTTTGGTCTGTTAATCTTAACACTAAGTTTATTTTGGTTCTGTTGAAAGGGCATTTCAAGTATATGAAATTGTAAAAACAACACATATATGTACACAGTGAAATTGCCTACCATATTAGTGTTGATTTTGGGTTATTGCAGCCAGGTATAATTCTGTCTTAATCAATAATTTCTATTCACACCATTTGTATTCCCCTCAATCAGGAGTTCTTCTGATATAAGACGTTCTGAAATATTTCTGAACGATTTCAATATATTGTTAAAATATTCGTTCAAACATATAGAAAAAAACAATAAATATGAGCAGAGATTATCCTTTTCGATAACTTCCTCTTCTGGCTCTGCTATTACATGTATATTTTTAGATACACAGAATATTCCAGAATAGTCGTTAATATCAATATTGGTCTTTTTTAATAATATCGATTTATAATTCCATTATGATCTTACTTAACAAATCGATATTATTTAAAAATCACCAATATTGATATTGACGACTATTCTAGAATGTACTGCGTACATAAACATATATATATATAATTGTAGAGCCTGAAGAGGAAACTATGGGGAAGGATATTCTTCGCTCAATATCTTGTTTTTCCTGGATTGGATTTTATCTTTTATTTTATATTTTATTATAGCTTGATTCAACACAGTAATTTGGTACTAGGATGGAATTTTCAGCATGTGATATCATTAGCCTAAATTCAGCAGGTCGACTACTGATATAAGGTGTGCGTCTGACGAGGATCGCACCCCAGAACATATTTACTGTCGGCTAGCATCCTGACTGATGTGCCACCGACACAGTATTATAAAATTCAATTTTGTGACCTGGTTCCATAAAAGCGTATAGACCTATGGCTCCCGACTTTTCAATACTTTTATCTTCCATCGCATTTCTCGCCTGAATGTGATGTGGTACTAATTGGACATACTTCATGAGGAATCAATACAGAAATTGCCTCATTAGGAAGAATTATGAATAAATTAGTGTATATAAGCTAAGATTTTGTGAAATCTGGTTAAATATTACTACTTTGATGAGGATTATTAGCGACATTTTGAATAGCGGAACGTCGTTAAAAACAGCATCGTTTTCGTATTTTCATTCATTGAGAAATATGGGGATGTTTCTGTTAATAATCTATATCATATCCCCAATGTGCAAAAACCTTTTTACACTATGAAATGAGAATTTTCGGTTATTGGTATGCAGGGATTTAAAAGGTTGCAGGTTTGGTCAAGAACTGATCTCCGATTTAAGTTGAGATTCTTCCACAATACTCACCCACCGGAGTTCGAAGCCATGACTTTCCTCTCAAAAGACGAGCTCCTAGACCATTTCAGCCAACTTCTAACAATTAGCGATACATAGTGCAATCGCCAGTCAATTTTTCTGGCTAGTAACTGTTCGGTTATCTGACACAAAATCCCAGTAGATGAACAGACTACGAGGTCGCCTTGTAAGCGGAATGTCCTGGTCTCGAATCTTGATGTGTGCTTACTGCTGTAAAGACCCAGACTTGAGCGAAGCAGCTGTCTAGGATTCTTTGGTTTTCTAATGATCCTCTCACCGATGTCAACTCGCTATCAAATATATCATTCATGAAATTTTCTGATTGTTTTTGATTGAACACTAGTCAGTAACTAGTGTAATGTGTCTAGTCCTATCTTCGGTGCAGACTGAATTCTATCAGTCTGCACCGAAGATAGGACTAGACACATTACACTAGTTACTGACTAGTGTTCAATCAAAAATATCCAATACAGTCCTACAGGAGGTCAGTCGCGAGCCTGAATAGCTCAGTGGTAACGTCTCTGACTGCAGCGCTGGGTGACGCGGGTTCGAATCTCAGAAGGGATATCAGTTCCTTCAAGGTTGCAGATACGCCTTGCTGATGAGTGCCAACTAGCACGAAACCTAGGTCCAAGGCTTCCTGCCGATTGCCTCCAACCATCGAATACCAACAATTTTCTGATTGGTTAAAAACAAAAATATACTCTAAACTAGTTAATTCTGATTGGACAAAAATATAGTCTTTTTGAAACACTGTTATCCAATCAAAATTGTTCGTCTTCTTTTGTATACACAAAAATTACTTTTAACAGTGCAAAACTGGTTGCCTTCATTTCCTTTTTAAATTACATTTTTTCCTGAAAATTTTATTATGTATTATGTAATTTAAATGTAATACCCTAAAAATCATGATTTCGCATTTCATTCAAATAAATATCATCTGAAATGGCGGGAGAAAATATGAAATAAAAGCACCCAGCTAACATGACTACATCTCAGTGTTCACTAGCTGTACCCACAGATTCTACACATCCACATAAAATAAACTCCCCGATTGTGATTAATCAATGGTCATCGTCATCATCGTTATCAGTATGTCCAGTTGATGATCATCCAGGTGAACGAGTAAGTCTGAATGAACTCCCAGAGAAACCAGTACATCATGCCCTGACAGATTCAATCAATACATGTTCATTAGAAACACAGCTGTACAATGAAGAGGAGAAATTCATTGCTGAATGTCTAGCCGTGGATAGTAGTCATCATAACCACCATAACCATCATCATCATCATGATAAACTATTACATAATGATATTATTCTGGATGATTTCGACTATGATAGAGATTTATTACAAAATCCATATTTTTATACATCATATACTGATTATGATTGTGAGTTAGCTGGTGGGGGTGGTGGTGCAGCAGGATTTAATCATTCTCCAATATTGAGTAGAGGGTATTCAAGACATGCAAGAAAACTTGACAGTGATCCAACTATTATACTGACATTGTTGAAATGGGCACGTGTTGGATCTAGTCAACTGCATGGGGATGATGATCAGATAGATCGGATTAATTATCAATTTACAAGTGTACTTCTGTTGATTTTATTAACACTGACAGGATTTAGACAATATTTATGTAAGTTTGGTTATTTTTTATCGATTTTATTGTATTGAGTGACGTAATCTAATTGATGGGGTTGAGTAGAGGTCAGTTAAAGGTAAAATTGAACAAAAGTCAAGTTAAACAGTGGTAATAAGGGTAGACCCTTCAGAGGGATTGAGGGAAGAGGGCATTATACAATTAAGAAGTGATTAAACGAACTTCTTTCGTAAGGAAAATTTACGATCTCATATTTGAACTCCCATTACTTCTGGGGTTTGAAGAAGTTTTCCTCGTACTATATTAGCAACACACAACCACACAATAGGGTGGGAGAGGGTTAAGATTCTAAGAAGTTGTCTATATAGGTGGAGAGAGAGACTAATTACTGAATCCTGGTTCATTGAGTCTACACCCAACACATGCAACAGAAATGACTCAATGTAAATACCAGAGATATGCATGGAAGATATTATTACCACCAGTCAAATCAGAGGAGGATAATAAATAATCTTAAATTTTTTATTTGAATTCAAGCAAATCACAACATTCTAACAAGTTACTTATTTTGACTATAAAAACACTCATCTTATTTCCCATCTGATTGTAATTGATCAACAACACTCATATTAATATTTCTGAATGTACATTATCTCATATTGAATTTTATTCAAATATCTAGTTCATTTCCAAACATGTAGGAAAAAAGTTGTGTGAGTAACTTGATATGGTTATGAGTTGCAATAGTTTATGCTCGAAACGTGGTCATCAGTTAATATTACTGCATAACAACACTCCGTGATTTATTAAAATACTATCCATAATGGAGTTATACTCTACCACAGTGCCTAAGTTTTATACTTATATCAGTAATATTAGCAACATCCCCACTTATTCTATAGTTGACTTTGAAATTGGTTTGCGGATTTGCTTTTCGATCCGTTCCCTTTCGATCAGATTTTCCAAAGCTTCGGGGAGACCTTTTTCTCCTTTATAAAACCATGAAGGTTAATGTTCGATGATACGTATGGGTAGTAAACTTTGGGTACGGCCGACATACTTAGCTCCACAAAAGCAGGTGAATTGGTAGACACGTATTGATGAGACTAGCTAGCAATGCTAGTTTATCCGTCACGTTTATTCGAATCACTGGTTTCGTAGAGAAGGTTCCTTGTAGTTCAGTCACGAAGAAAGTTTTTCTCCAGTGAGTGGGACAGGCAGTTTCTCAGTATTCCTGTCGATGAGTCTTGATTGAAGTTTTTATTTTCCCACTGTTGTTAACTTGACTTTTGTTCAATTTTAATTTTAGCTAAACTCTAGTCAACCTTATTAATTAGAATACGTCACTCAACTTGCTTATTTAATCTTTACTTTCTAACCAGTTACCGCTTCCTATATTACGTAATTTCATTGTATTATTGAGTGGGTGTTTCGATGACTTCTTTTGATGTGTTCAAATCAGGGATTTTTAGTGTGGATTACGTCATCAACGATAACAATATGTTCACTTTATTTCAAACAGTAATAATTATAAAGAATGGAAGTTTCAAAATTTGTAGAGTAAGTGAGGACTTAGGGGACAGTGTTAAACTTTAGACACCTAATAGACGTGCATGCTCCAATGACCATGGAAAGTTAAGTTGTGCTGGGAAGTAAATTTGAGCCCGTAACTCAATCCCTACCAACTCTAGCGTCTCCTTACTTAGGTAAATCTAACCCTAAGCCTATTTCTAGACTTAAACAAACCTTATTCTTCCCCTAACACAAGCTTAAACTAACCAGGTATCTTGATTAATATTATCACACTTTATTCAACACCTTTTTCAATGAATTCAGTGTCACTTACATGTCTCGACCTTCATGTTGTGACTGATAGTTCCAAGGTCTGTGATGGGTACGCGCCTACTGGGTGTTTATAGTCTGACTTAGACAACTTAGGAGCATTTGACAGATGTCTCGTTGTACTTTGAGAATCTTCACCTCACCGGAGGCTGGACGTAATACATTCAGTCACTAGTTGGGAATTCAGTGACTCGTGAATTATAACTCCAGACAATTCAAGATATACCACTACTGTCAGTCTCTTCTTAGAAGCGATAACTTCTCATTGAAACCTCAGGAAATCCATCCAGTAACCACGAATGACCTGGAGACTGGTTATCAGATTTTAGGTGATTCTCGCTTGGTTTTTGCTAATTCTCTAACTGATATGCTTTCATGGAGAAATCTACAAAATACGAAATCGGAAATAAGCATAAATGATTTACATAAAATCTACGATAACATCTGATATTATTTGTATTCATCTGTGATTTAAAGCTGCGATATAAGCACTGGATGAGAGATGGCCTCATTACGACATCTTGGCAACTTGAATGAGTATCAGAAAATCTTGTCTCCTAACTTGAAGTTAGTTATTTAGTAGTATTTAGCAGAAGAAATTCGTCTAGTAAACAGTATCACTTTTCGGCGAGTATTTCCCTTTTGATGGACTTAAATTAGGTGCATAATTAGAATGGTATAATTTCATGGTTCCCCTAAAATAACTCCCAGGTTTTCCAGTGGTTCTCTAACCGATGTCAGCTCATGATGAAATCCTCCAACCAAAAAAACGAATTCCTCACAAAACCAATAGCTGAAAATTGATCTGATGCTGACTAGCAACACTACTTTTTTTAATACAGTCAGATAAGTAATGCCAAGGTGAGGGAGGGGGTTAAGTTTATGGATACTTATCGCCTCTATGTATTTCAGAAAGCACCCGTAATTGTTTATACAAACATTCTTGATAGTTGAAGTAATTTAGTGGATGGCGACTAGCAGTAAAATCCTGGATCAACAGTTTATCATATATGGGACAGCTCACCTGCATTTGCCTGCATTCTCCAGTAAATTATGATGTCCTCACTTCAGCTCGAACCTAGTACCTTTGGTTACAAACTTCAGATAACGAGCTCCAAAACAGAACGAAATGCGCATAGTAGATTCCACTGCTAGTCACTGTCCAGCAAATTACTCCAGGTTGAATGACCGGACACTGTAGAAGTATCTGCACTAGGAGCCGACATGTCGAAAAAGACCAAACATTTCGGTCCAATCAATCAAAAGGAAACTCGAAACTGAACTGAAAACAAATAATTCTTCAAAGTCGTTTTGACATAAATCTTGTTTTGCATCAATTAAGTACCTTCCTGCAGACGAAGTCTGTAGTTAGCTATCTGTGTTCATCCAGGTTTCACAATTCATTTGTCTGTCTAATCATTTGGGATTGGGTTCTGCCTTACTCCTCCTTACCTCTGTCTGACTGCACACACACCTGTAAGCTGGTATATGGTATGGGATGTGACGCAACCAGTTGAACAGTATTCAGGCCTGTCTGAAAGCATGCTTTTGGCTTTTTCGATAATTATAAATGCTGCTGCAAAGTATAAATAAATAACCGTTCATATTTTGAGAGATCAAGTAATCCAGAGTAGGTAAAGACTGAATTCAATAACTCCACAGTATATTAAATAAATTTATTGAACTTGGATTAGAGTAATAGGAAATAATTGAGAAGAACTGAATAGGTTTAGTTCCGTGGCGAGGTATACACAAAACAAACGTCTTCAAATAGATGATTTTGCATTTCCACACAAATTTAGATAAAAGTGATGAAGTAATCAGCTGAATTCCTTTTCTCTAATAGTAAGGGGCTATGAGGGTAAAATGTCCCCGAGGTTACGAAAACATGTGTAGCATAGTATATGGATTTGATTTGTAGTTGATAAGATTTTGAGTTATTCACTGGAATATGTGATTGCTGTTGTACATCAAGCAAACAGTATTCAACGAAGGGACACTTTTCAACAACGAATTTATTATCATGCTGTACAATCGAATATATATATATATGGTTTTTACGAAATTATATCCTGCAAGGGAATCAATGTCATATATGGAATAATTCATAAGATGTATAGAATTTAGTAGGGATATGAAATTATAGGATTAGTAGGCAAATAGAACAGAAGTAAAATCGCTACGTAACACTGTGTGAAATTTGATAACATAGAATTTAACGTTGCAAGACAGAATTGATTTAGATAGGCAAGTGGAACAAGTGAAATAATATCGGGGACAATTCGAAGTGAGATTAGTAATAGAAACAAATGACGACTTTAAAGGCGGAGGCTGTAGAGGTAGGGTGACCAATAAAACCCTAAACTTATAAGATTGTACAACTTGACAAAAAATACGTTGTTGAAAGGAGTCTTTTCACTGAATCACTTGTCTTGATATCCTATATGGACCAATGGGAAGTTTCCATGGATTCATTATCAAGCTATACCGTCATATGTATTAGATGATTGGAGGCAATCACCAGGAAGCCCTGGACCTAGTTGGCTCTCACCAGTCAGTCAGCAAGGTGTACCTGCAATCTTGAAGGAAGTCACGTCCCTTCTGAGGTTCAAGCCCACGTCACCCACTGAGAGCTGCAGTTAGAGATGTTACCACTAAGCCATTCGAGCTGGCTCCCGATTCACCTCCTGCAGGAGTTTATGGATATTTTTTATTGGACACTAGTCAGTAACTAGTGTATACTGAGTTCTGTCTTTTGCAAACTTGATGGCCTGATAGAATTCAGTCTGCACCAAATATAGGACTAGACACATTGCACTAGTTACTCGGTCGGTCGGTTTTTGACATAGAACTTTGCACATATGTGCGGCATTTCAAGTCGCCACACTCCATGTAGCACACAAAGCAAGAGAAGAAAGTAGGAGAAATGCATAATGTAGACAGTCTCTCTGTCTGTCTGGATTCAACATAGAACTTGGCACCGAAGTGCAGCAGTTCGAGTTGCCACGTTCCAAATAGCACACAAAGGTAGACAAGATGATGAGTGAAGAGAATCAATAGAGTTTTGACAAGTATAACAGTGAAACAGAATGAGTAACGGTAGAAAGGAGTATGAAAGATTACAGAGACTGAATACATCTGCGCCATTGACAACGATTTTGAGCCATGTCACCTATTGTCTCCAGCCATTGATTCTTAGAGTCCCGAGGGCCCCAACCCGGAAGTCTGCATCTCCCTACCTGACTCAGTTTGACCGTCAAGGATTTCATGGACTGGTGCCATGTTTTTGTTTGGCCGCCACTTACTCTTTACCAACCTGCAGCTATATCAGCTAGTAATGCCCGTCGGGGGAGACGACCGACCGAAAGCTGCTACCTTGACGTGGTGGTCGGGCTTGAACACCGCAATGACCCAACAAGCTATACTGGCTGGAACTTATGTTCCTGCAGGTCTTACCATGCCAGAAAGGTTGTTTGGATAGCGGTTAGACTAAAAGCAGTTACCCAATCCAATCCTATGACTTCAAACAAATCACAAAATATCATGCCGGATCGGTCGGGGTCCAGATTAACAACGACCGCGCTTTCTGCTGCCGTGTCACAGGGCAGAAGTGATAAATACGCTACTGAGACACACCAAATAAAAAAGAACAAACAAAATATAGACAGTAAACAGAGGTGTGTGACAAAGGAATAGTAATAACGAAGAACAAAACAGTTTCATTGGAAATCATAAGTCACAAGGAATGGGTGCATCTGCGCCACTGAGAACGATTTTGAGCCATGTCACTAATTGTTACCAACCATTGGTTTTTTACCGTCCTGAGGACCCCAACCAGGAAGTCTACACCTTCCTACGTGGCTCAGACACTAGTTACTAGTGTCTAATCCAATTGCAGCAATGTGTATATATAACTTTTAACGAAATATATCTCGTGTGAAAATTTAAATCATAAACGTTAAAAACACTTAAAATAATAATAATAATATGAAGTGCGAATAAAATGTTTGTGATTATAATTGTGATTACAACTCAATATGAAACGATAAAATAAATAATGCAGAGAAAGTGTAGATCTTGATAAATGATGTAACATTAAAAAGGATTCGAATGAAAATAACAAGATTATGTAACATGGTGAGAAGTTTGATAAGGTAGAGTTTAACATTGCAGAAAAATAGTATTGATTAAAAATAATAAATCGAGGATGGTAAGTGAAATAATACCGGAAAAGTTTAGCTGGAAAACAGAAAGGTACATAGATAAGGTAAACAAAATGAAAACTAAATCAATAAATATTTATCCTTTTTTCTACTCCATAGAGAAGATAGATATAAGGACTTTATGTGCTTCTTCTGGACACAAAGATATGGTGTGAATCAATGAATGACCTAGGCCTCTGTTGTCTTTAGAGTTTGGGGACGAAGAAAAATCACCAAGGTGGCTGTGATTGATGTGTCTAGTTCCACAAAAGCAGGTGAACTGATAGACGCTCGTGGAGACGGCCAGACAGTTCACACTTTACAGTTTACAATTTATTTAGGATAGTAGGCTATATGCTTCTGTTAATCCTTTCGATTTGTTACACACAGGAGGTCCAATCTCGCCTTGAATGAATCAACGGATGGCGCTGATACGACGTGTTCCGGTAAGGAGTTCCAATGGTTCACAATTCGATGCGAAAAACGGATCTCCAGACGCAGACGATTCGACCGTGATTTTTGAACCTTGAGATGATGTCCTCGCAATTGTTTGGTGCTAGAAGGAAGAAATAAATTAGATAAATTAGCTCCAAAATCATTTCTTAGGTTACGGTATGCTAGTATTAGGTCACCCCTAAGTCGTCTGTATGACAGTGGAAATAAACCCAGTCGACTTAACCTCTCCTCATATAAGAGGGTTGAGGAGCCCTTTATTAGCTTAGTTCTTACTCTTTGCACCCTTTCTAATAAGTCTATTTCGTATTTGAAACACGAGCTCGCTGCCTGAATCCCATATTCCAAATGAGGTCTGATATAAGTCGGATATAATATACGAAATATATCAGCGTCAAAGTTCGCAAAAGCCTTGTGTATGGCCCATAATATTCGAAAACCCTTAGTGGTTGCAGCTCTACAGTTTGCACGTGACTATGAGATACATGCATAACTACACTATTGATTATCTTTTACACAAACAGAAAACAACTTCTGGCTAGTGACTGGAGTTGGTTGGAGTCTTTCTGCAACGAACATTTCATATTATTTTATTAACGACAGATTTATCTGTTATAGTAAGAGTTTTGTCAGACATTGAAGCTTAGACAGCACCTAATTATTAACGATGCACTAGCTAAGAAGCTACAATGCACACACTCGGGATTCATCAGGTTCATGTAAAATGATACGCATCCTGAATTAGTTAGCCCATTAAAATAGGAGTGGGTTTTAACGCTGTGGTTTCAGAGTCGGAAATAATTCCATATCATGAATTAAAGTAAAGCATGGGCACAAGAATATCCTTTTCACTATCTTGTTTTAGTGGCATTAAATATCTTTAACTTTTGATTATCGGAAATTTGTTTGACTTCAAGTTTGATAACAAGTGAACTTCAATAAGAGAATCATTGAAAATCAGATAGTACAGAACAGTCTTCCATCCTTGTTTTAGACCCTTCAGAAGTACGCACCCATGATCCCACAAGGGATGGAACCCGGGACTTTCAGGTTAAAAGAAGGGTTCGTTGATCATTCAGTTACTCGGAGGGAATCCATTCACCCATCAGTGGGTTCCACGAAGCTATATGTGAGGACAAATACTCGCTGACACTGATGAATCGGAGAATTTAGAATTGATGGGTTATTGCATTCTGTTCCAGTGGTTAAATGATCAATGAGCTGAATTCCAAGCTGAGTGGCCGTTACACAGATAGTGTTATTATTTACTATAATTATTGTTTCCTTTAATTCCTAGAGGAACATAGGGCTTCAGTCGTGTGTCTCCATTGCGTTCGGTTTGCTGCTAGAGTCTTTATCTGGTTCCAAGTCTGCTCACACGTTTTCATCTCCTCTTCACATGACCTCCTCCAAGTTACCCACTCTCGCACTGACGACCAACTCGCCGCTTCCCTTTCAGTCGGGTTTCACTCGAGCAATGGCTTGTCTAGTGATGTCACTCACTTGATGGTTTGTTTCCTCAGAGTATGGCCAGCCAATCCATCTCCATTTCCTTCTGCCTATTTGTTTCACAATCGGTTCCTGCTGTGTTGGTTCGCTCCCAGAGTTCCCTATTGCTGATCTTTTCTGGCAGGCCATCTGATCTTGAGTATTGAGCGAAGACAACTAATAATGAAGGTCTGTAGTTTGTTTCAGATGCTCTTTATGACGCGCAGTGCAAGACTCTGATCCGTATAGTAGCACTGACTTCACATTGGAGTTGAAAATCCGGATCTTATCTTCGTTTTGATGCTGAGTGCTGTTGACCTCCACACAGACTTGAGAGTAGTGAAAGCTTGTCTTGCTTTTCCGACTCTTGCTTTGATATCCTCGTCAGTTCCGTGCGCCTGTAGTTGAAATGATGCTTCCCAGGTCGGTTGATGAAGGAGGTTGCTTCTTTCAGGTTCCTTCCATTTATGCTGATCGTTGTCTGTTGTTGTTGTTCTTGTCCAGGAATCCTCATCACCTCTGTTTTTTCTATGTTCACCTGAAGTGGTGTCCTATCTTTGATGCCTCTTCTGCCAACTTGTTACTTTTCAGCTGCATACCTTCCAGTTTGTGTGAAATCAGGCATATATCATCGGCGAAGTCCAGATCCTCTAAGTTTTTTGTGTGAGTCCATTTTATGCCTGTTTCCTCATTGCCCGCTGTTTGTCGCATTATCCAATCTACTGCAATCAGATAGTATAAATTTAGCAAATCTGAAGAAAATAATTCCAACTTTTTGTTTGGCCACCTTGTTCAAAATTCTTCACGGAAGTAATAATAATAATAATTTGCTTTATTCCAAAAATACAATGCTCTGCAACCATTCATGTGACGCAAATTTCGATCCCCGGTCGACGCACTCCTAAAACATGCCAGTCCGGTAGTAAGGCTGTTAGATAGGGAAGGTAGGGTATTTGACTGACAATCCCACCTCATGAAGATAAAAGCAGTAGCACCTAAGCTTCAAACCTTGGGCTCGAAGCCCTATCTTCCACTTACAACCTAAAGGAATAATAAAAATGTGTCAAGAGGCAAATCTTGTCTTCAAAATGCCTGTCTACTTACTGGACACAAAATAAACACATCTATGTGAGCTGTAAGCAAGACATGGCCGGCTAATTCTACGAACTTAAGACTATCTTTTAGTTTTGATAGCTATTCATGACTCAGATGTGATTGGAAAAGCATTTTAAAGACAAAATATCTTCCCCTTATACAACTCTGATATTTTAATTTCACTTATTCCCCTGAGGAAGTTCTGACCACTTTACCAGACGAATAAATATTGGAATGATTTTTTTTCGTTTTCTCTTAGATTTGTACATATGTAATTATTTTTTTTAAACATATGTCTACTTTTCACTTCATGTCCAATGT